AACCTTACTGCCACCAAAAAAAAAAAAAAAGTGAACATTGCTCACTTTCAAGTTAAAGAAATAATAAGGTTAAAAGAGATCTTACTGGATTCTAATCCATTATAAGATGTAAGAAAAGCAAGAGATACTAGATACCCTTGCACACAGAACAAAAGAGCATATGAGGTCACAGAGAAAAGGTAGCCATCAGCAAAACAACTCGAGAGGTCTTCAACATCTTGATCTTGGTCTTTCTGCCTCCAAAACCATTAAAAAATAAGTTTCTGTTGTTTGAGTCACTTGATTGCAGGGTTTTGTTATGGCAGCTCTAGCAGGCTAATCCAGAGTGAAAATACAGATAAACATTATTTACATATTGCTTCAGCTTGAGTCAGAGAAAGTCACCTGCTTTTCTGGGGTATTTTTGGAGGGAAAATATTTTGCAGTGCTCCTGTTCTTCTAGAATTAAGTGTTGCTGAGGCTGAAGACATGTCTCAGTAGTATTAGACCAGACTAGCAGGTTTGAGGTCCTGAGTTCAAATCCCAGTCCTGCCAAAGAATAATAAATAAATAATACTAATAACAATAATAAATTACAGGTTGCTGTCCATCAACTATTTGCATCTATAGATTGGTTCCATCTGTAGGGAAACTGTAGGGAAAACGTTGGGGCATCATCTGATCTCAACTAAAGAATAAGGTACCAAAAGATCTTAAAGTAATAGAAGGAAAGGAAAGTTGTTCAAATCCTCACATTGCCCTTCTTTTCCTTCCTTTGGGATCTATAAATCTCCTACTATCTGTTATTGCCAGAGAAGGGGAAAACAGAATCAGAAGCAATGAAACACACCATCAATGGGAGGGCATTTCTTTCTTTCTTCCTGAACAAATCCTTCACCTATCAAATAAGAGGTTTCAATGACTGTGTCTCATGTTTCTTCCTGTGCTTTAAAAGGAAATAATAACTAACATATGTTCCTGATACTATAAGCACCTGATACTATATCATCTTACACAGTTCTCAAGGCAACCTTAACAGGTGCTATTATTATTCCCATTGTGCATATGAGAGAATTAAGATACAGAGAGATTCAGTAATTGGCACTGGGTCACACAGCAAATCAGTGGTAATAAGAACTAAACTCAAGCAGGATGATACCAAAGCCTCAAGTTACCAGCCATGTTCCACTTCTCTGGCAAAGGAAGTCTCCCAGAGTTTCTTGACACACAACATATAGGGAACATTGAATGGCTGAGACCTGGAAACATTCCAAGATGTGTGAGCATCTGGCATTGTGAGCAATCCAAAATCAGTGTTGAAACAACAATTACCTTCCCCTCAAATTGTCTCATTGTCTAACTGCTGAGTTTGAATTGGAGCTATGGAGAATGCTGTTCTGTGGCTCAGTATAGCATTTAGAAGTCGCTTTGCCATTATTGGAAGCCCAATAAAGAAGGGTGGGGGGGGAACCTTGCAAAAGCAGAATAAGCAGTTGGAGAGTGGAAATGAGCACCAAACCTAGAGCAAACCACAGATTTAGGAATTCTAAAAGATTTCTGCAAACTGTGATTTCTCTAGAAGAATGAACATCCTCGCCCCCCACCCCTCCAAATCTAGCCAGGCCCCTTGAAGCATATTTCGCTGAGAGGTTTATTCGATGGGCCCTGGGCTTTTTTTTTTTTTTAAGTTAGAAGGTTAAAAAAAAAAAAAAACAAAAAACCCTCTCTCCATCCATCCTCCGAATTACACTTTGCAGCAAAGACGGCGTCCCTTTTCCTGGTAGATATAATCCTAATTAAAAATAAATTACATGCTGCATAGAACTTGAAATGGAAAAGATAATCCTATTACAGATGAGAATGTACCCTGATTTTCCTTCCCCCCACCCCCGCCCGGCTGAACTGTGGGAGAGATCAGATCGGACTGAGCCCCCCATTGTCACCGCGTTGGAAAACTTTCCCGGAGCCCTAATCCGTCACGTGACGCGCGTGTCACCCTCGGTGTCTGCACGCGAGTTCCACAATGCCGGCATTAGGTGCGGTCACAGGAGCCCAGCTCGCCGGAGCCGGCCACATTTGCATTCCGAGAAAACGCCGGCCATTGTGTGCGCCCCGTTTGTTCTCTCCGGATTGCGAAGACCGTTGCGGGGCGAAGGGTGGGGGGGCGGGGGGAGGAAGGGGTGCTCCTTTGAACCCACCCGGGCCTTCTCGGGAGAATAATGAGGCTATTGGTGCGCCTTTTGTGCGGTGGGACCAGCACTGGGGCAGGCGGACTCCCCTCTCCTCTCCTCCCCATCCACCCCATCCCCCATTTCTCTCCACCCCTCCCACCTTCCTGGACGTGTTTTTCCCTCCCTGGGGGAGTTTGCTGTGGCTACAGATGAGCTATTTTGAATGCCGTTTCCCTACGCTGGCGGCCCGCTCTGCTCGCGTGCCTTCACACCTCGGGGCCAGCGCTCCCGCCCGGCCCCCTCCGCGCGCGCGCCCCGGCCGCCGCGCTGGTCGCCGGCCTCCCCGGCTCCGCGCTCGCGGCTCCCAGCATCCTGGCGCTGCCGCCGCGGCCCCCCGCCCCCCGCGCCGCCCCCCGAGCCGCTTCCCAGCGGCCGTGGCTCTGGCAGCCGATTCTAAAGCTTTCAACCTCCCCCACGTCCCTCCTCCAGCCGCCTGGCTTTTTGCCTGCTGCCTCGCTCTTCTTCCCACCCACCCTCCAGCACATTCTTCCTGGCGCACGCGAGACGGCGGAGGCGCTGTGGCGCTCCAGCCTAAAAACGTCAAGTTTGGAGAGTCAAACCCTCAGCCACTCCCCGCGGGGCTCGGGGCGAGTGTCGGCTTCCCCAGTTCAAGATAACCTCTTTTCGGCGATTCCAGTTCCTCCAACGCTCGCCGCCTCCTCCCGGCCTCTACCACGGGGCTCTCGGACGAGTAGCAGCTGTGCCTCCCGGGCCTGGGGGTTACTAAGTCGAAGGTGCTGTCCACGAGCTGAGTTCTGAATCTAGGCCCGCCAGGGGAAAGGGGAAGGAAGCCATAAACCTGGAGGCCCAAGGCCCAACACTGGCCACTGGCCAGGGGAGCAGGGGTTCCAGGAAGAAAGACAAAAAGTTATTTTGGCTTGCTAGGCTCCCACTCCAGGAATGTCTTTTGAGAGAGACGAATACTAAAATGGAATTAGGTGAGAGAAAAAAAGTGGAAGAGAAGGCCAAGGATTGGGCCTCTCTCTATAGGAATCTCCACGTGGCTGTGGATGTCTGGCCTCTTTGTGTTTAAGTCTCTGGACTGCCAGCTGAAGGGGAGTAAGAAGGGAGCTTAGAGGATCGGAGAAAACACCGAAGGATCCACCACCACCCTCCCTCCTAGGAGTTTTTGTTTACTGATGACAGGGCCTGCCTTTGCATCCCCTCCTTGTGCCCCTCTTACCAGCCAGCTCCCTGATGCTGGTCTCCACCTTGGAGAAACTCCTTAGTTGTTTCATTTTTAAGACCCGACAAAACACAGTCCCTTGAACTCTAAGAGAAGGAAAATAAAGATGGCTGATGAAGAACCAAAATCAGGATTTAGAAGAACAAATAAAATATTACTGATCGAACCCATCATCTTTTTTATTTTATTGTTCCCCCCCCCCAAGAACATGACATGTGCTTTTACCTCTGCTCCTTCCTTTGCATAACCTGCTCAGTAGAACCCTTGAATAAGAACCCTGTCTTGGTGCTGGTTGATAACCTATCTCCTGGGCCATAGGAGGCAGGAAGTGGGGACGCCTGTGGGGGGGAAATGCAGCATTGAACACCCAGCCAGCCCAGTTTTGGCAAGGCTGAAGTTCCACACTTTTGTAGCCAGATGGTTAAGTTCCCCCACCCCCAAGTTCAGGCCAGGTTTCAAGTGTCACGCTGTGATTTTGTTCTTCAGGAACCGGACAAGTGTTGCTTCCCAGAGTGGCCCTATTAAAACAGAAAGAAAATCCTCTAAATAGGCGGAACAGGGCATCAGGAGGGAAAGTTCTCTAAATGCACTTTAATATGAACCCTGTATTGTGTGGAATTCAGCGCCCATCACCGTTTAGCGGAGAGTTATGGCAGTGATTGGGGATGAATAGAGCAACATAATGGATACATGTGGCGTTTGCTCATTATATTCAAGTTAGCCCAACTCGGCTATGGAAACTGTTCAACTTTCTCTCCCCCTTAGCTTGTCACAGTGAAATAATACAGACATTGGGGCCTCCAATGGGATCGCCTGCCACGCCATTCTATTTCCACTGCTAACGAGGGCTTCATAAGCCTTTGATACAGTCTGATCTTTGAAACCTTTCCAAATCTCCTCAAGCTTATGCTAAATCCTATTTGGAACTTTTTTTTTCCTTGCCTACTAGAGCCTAGGGCTTAAGAAAGCCATTTGGACAGTGACATGCATACTAACATATCGTAGGACCATTTTCTGAAAGGAAAGTGGTAGCTCTGATCACCAGGGCTCACATGAGCAACACACAATTGGGTACACACATTTGAATAAAATCAATTTTCCCTTATCCTTCAGGGTTCTTCATGGAGAGGCTGATTTCGGGAGTCATGGGAAGCAGGGAGCGAGGTCCAGCACAGCCTCACAGCAGAGTTTGGAAGCTTGAGAGATGCAAAATGAATAGGGAGGGGTTTGCTAAGGAGCTCCTAGGGAGAAACCCTCGGTCCTCGCACTTAGTTCTAGCAGCTGGCACCAGAGCAAGGGTGCGAAGCGCACAATTAACAAAACCATCCATTCCTTTTACTTCCGGAGCCCTGTGCCAACTCTTCTAAAAGCAAGGCGCTGACAGAAAAGGGGAGGGAGCCGGAGTTAAAAAAAACAAAAAACAAAGGAAAGATTCCTGATTTTCATTTCTTGTTTTCTCCCCTAAGCCTTTCCACATTAAAAGGGTTGTCAGAGGCTGGTGGAGGAAAGGCGGCGCTAGGCTAAGGCAGCCATTGGCTGTCTGGCTCCAGCGATTTGCATATCGGCAGCTATAAAGGCGTGAGGCGGCTCCCGCGCGGCGGCGCAGCTCTGGCCGGGAGAAGGGAGGGAGAGGCGCGGAGTGAGGGCGGGTCCGCGCGTCCTCCGAGCCAGGCTGATCCGAGCGAACCGCAGCTCGCAGACTTCTCCCGCACGGGGCTGGAGTGTGTTCCCAGGAGCCTGGGACTCACGCCCCCGATCTGCAAACCAGAAAGGAATCTATTCCTTAGCCTTTTGGAATAGCACTTGGGGCTGGCAGCATGAGTCCTGGGAGGCGCCGGAGCACCCCTTGTCTTTTCCCTTTGCAGCTCTTCAGCCTCTGCTGGGTGCTCTCAGTGGGGCAAAGCAAGACAGTCCGGTACAGCACCTTCGAGGAGGATGCCCCCGGCACGGTCATCGGGACCCTCGCTGAAGATCTGCATATGAAAGTGTCCGGAGACACAAGCTTCCGCCTGATGAAGCAATTCAACAGCTCTCTGCTCCGGGTGCGCGAGGGGGACGGGCAGCTGACCGTCGGGGACGCAGGCCTGGACCGGGAGCAGCTGTGCGGCCAGGCCCCCCAGTGCGTGCTGGCCTTCGACGTGGTCAGCTTCTCCCAGGAGCAGTTCCGGCTGGTGCACGTGGAGGTAGAGGTGAGGGATGTGAACGACCACGCGCCCCGCTTTCCTCGGGCCCAGATCCCCGTGGAGATCTCCGAAGGGGCGGCCGTGGGCACGCGCATCCCCCTGGAGGTGCCGGTGGACGAGGACGTGGGGGCCAACGGGCTGCAGAGCGTGCGCCTGGCCGAGCCGCACAGCCCCTTCCGAGTGGAGCTGCAGACGCGTGCGGACGGCGCGCAGTGCGCCGATCTGGTGCTGCTCCAGGAGCTGGACCGCGAGAGCCAGGCCGCCTACAGCCTGGAGCTGGTGGCCCAGGACGGGGGGCGCCCGCCGCGCTCTGCCACTGCCGCCCTCAGCGTGCGCGTGTTGGACGCCAACGACCACAGCCCGGCCTTTCCGCAAGGCGCCGTGGCCGAGGTAGAACTGGCCGAGGACGCGCCGGTGGGCTCGCTGCTGCTGGACCTGGACGCAGCCGACCCCGACGAGGGGCCCAACGGCGACGTGGTTTTCGCCTTCGGCGCCCGCACCCCACCCGAGGCCCGCCGCCTCTTCCGGCTCGATCCGCGCTCCGGCCGCCTCACCCTGGCCGGCCCGGTGGACTACGAGCGCCAGGACACCTACGAACTGGACGTGCGGGCCCAAGACCGAGGCCCCGGGCCTCGCTCCGCCACCTGCAAGGTCATCGTGCGCATACGCGACGTCAACGACAACGCTCCGGACATCTCCATCACCCCTCTGGCCGCCCCCGGAGCACCAGGCACCTCACCCTTCGCTGCTGCAGCTGCCGCCGCTGCGCTCGGAGGAACCGACGCGACCGCCTCGGCCGGGGCCGGGGCCGGGAACCCCGAGGCCGGAGCCACCTCGCTCGTGCCAGAAGGAGCGGCGCGCGAGAGCCTGGTAGCGCTGGTCAGCACCTCGGACAGGGACTCGGGCGCCAATGGGCAGGTGCGCTGCGCCCTCTATGGGCACGAGCACTTCCGGCTGCAGCCGGCCTACGCGGGCAGCTACCTGGTAGTGACCGCGGCGTCCCTGGACCGCGAGCGCATCGCCGAGTACAACCTGACCCTGGTGGCCGAGGACCGCGGCGCGCCCCCGCTGCGCACCGTGAGGCCCTACACCGTGCGCGTGGGCGACGAGAACGACAACGCGCCGCTCTTCACCCGGCCGGTCTACGAGGTCTCCGTACGTGAGAACAACCCACCTGGCGCTTACCTGGCCACGGTGGCCGCCCGTGACCCAGACCTGGGCCGCAATGGCCAGGTCACCTATCGACTATTAGAGGCCGAAGTGGGCCGCTCCGGCGATGCGGTGTCCACCTACGTCTCCGTGGACCCGGCTACTGGCGCCATCTACGCGTTGCGCAGCTTCGACTTCGAGACGCTGCGCCAGCTCGACGTGCGTATCCAGGCCAGCGACGGCGGATCCCCGCAGCTCTCCAGCAGCGCTCTGGTGCAAGTGCGAGTGCTGGACCAGAACGACCATGCGCCGGTCCTGGTGCACCCGGCACCGGCCAATGGTTCCCTAGAAGTAGCCGTCCCCGGGCGCACCGCAAAGGACACGGCCGTGGCCCGCGTCCAGGCCCGCGACGCGGACGACGGCGTCAACGGGGAGCTGGCATTCGACCTGCAACAGCAAGAACCCCGCGAAGCCTTCGCCATCGGCCGCCGCACGGGGGAGATCGTGCTCACCGGAGACCTCTCGCAAGAGCCTCCGGGCCGCGTGTTCAGGGCGCTGCTGGTCATATCCGACGGCGGCCGCCCGCCTCTCTCCACCACCGCCACGGTCAGCTTCGTGGTTACAGAAGGCGGCGGGCGCGGGCAGGGCGCGCCCGCCAGTGCGGGGAGCCCGGAGCAATCGCGCCCGCCTGGCTCGAGGCTCGAGGCGGCGGGGCCTGCACTACAGTGGGACACTCCGCTGATCGTCATCATCGTGCTGGCCGGGAGCTGCACGCTGCTGCTGGCCGCCATCATCGCCATCGCCACCACCTGCAACCGCCGCAAGAAGGAGGTGCGCAAAGGGGGGGCCCTCCGGGAAGAGCGGCCCGGGGCGGCGGGCGGCGGAGCCTCGGCTCCCGGATCCCCGGAGGAGGCCGCCCGGGGAGCTGGGCCCAGGCCCAACATGTTCGACGTGCTCACCTTCCCTGGCAGCGGCAAAGCGCCCTTTGGCAGCCCCGCGGCCGACGCGGCCCCACCCGCGGTCGCCGCGGCCGAAGTGCCGGGCTCGGAGGGCGGCAGCGCCACTGGGGAAAGCGCCTGTCACTTCGAGGGGCAGCAGCGGCTCCGCGGCGCGCACGCCGAGGTGAGGCCTTCCCGCGGCTGGGCGCCCCCCTCCGTGCTCCGCGGACAGGCTGGGGGAAGGGAGAATGGAGGGGTCGGGGTGGGCCGTGGCAGGGAGACGCTTAACCTGTTGCACTCGTTTTTCTTTTTTCCTTCTTGTTTCCCTCCCAACCCTCACACCCTCTCCCCCTTCCCCCACCCCTTGTTCCCGGCTGTAGCCCTACGGCGCCTCCCCGGGGTTTGGAAAGGAGCCGGCGGCCCCGGTGGCGGTCTGGAAGGGACATTCCTTCAACACCATCTCCGGCCGGGAAGCGGAGAAGTTCAGCGGCAAAGACAGCGGCAAAGGGGACAGTGATTTCAACGACAGCGATTCGGACATCAGCGGGGACGCTCTGAAAAAGGACCTCATCAACCACATGCAGAGTGGTGAGGACTCTTCTCTCCCTGTGAACTCCGCCTTCTTTCCTCTCCCCCACGGCTAGCCGCCGCTCAATCCGGGACCCCAGCCTGGCGGTCTCTCCACACTTCATTCCCTCCCCCTGCTCGAGATCTGGGCCGGCCTCCTACCGCGATTTCAAAATGCCAAGTAGAGGCAACTCCACCACTTAAGCAAGGCACACACACCCATCCTGTTAGGCAGAAGCAGCGGAGCTGCCGGCCACCTAAGGAGGGAAGTCTGCTTAGCGTAATCAATTTTCTTCCAGCTGAAGGGATGGGCAGGCTTTGTATGCAGGAAGCAATCAATGTGCCTTTCATCTTTCTACACACCTTCCTTTTTCTGCTGCCCTAACCCGGCTCACGTTCTGAAGATGGAGGCTTACCAGTGTGTGTGTGTGTGTGTGTGTGTGTGTGTGTGTGTGTGTGTGTGTGTGTGTGTGTGCGCGCGCGCGCGTGCGTGCGTGCGCGCGCTCAGGAATAACCATCATGTTCTTTCCTTTTTTATGCTAGGATTGTGGGCGTGCACTGCTGAGTGTAAGATCCTGGGCCATTCTGACCGCTGTTGGAGCCCATCCTGTGGGGGCCCCAATGCACATCCTTCGACTCACCCACCTGCTCAGATGTCCACCTTCTGCAAGAGCACGTCCCTGCCTCGAGATCCTCTGCGCAGGGACAATTACTACCAGGCCCAGCTGCCCAAGACAGTAGGGCTGCAGAGCGTCTATGAGAAAGTTCTACACAGAGACTATGACAGGACAGCCACTCTGCTCTCCCCTCCCCGTCCAGGGAGGCTCCCAGACCTGCAGGAGATCGGAGTGCCCCTCTACCAGTCCCCCCCTGGAAGATACCTGTCCCCCAAAAAGGGAGCCAATGAAAATGTGTAATTTCATGCTGCATGTCTTCACACACATATACAGGTCACTCTGGAGAAACCCCTAAGTTATTGACCGGTTTCAGTGTTGTATATATAAATATGCAAGATGTGCCTTAAAAATGAAGTTGTTGGAAGCTAATTTCCAATCACATTGGTACTGTTTGGTATTTGCAAACAAAAAAAAAGTAGTTAATGTAATTTTTATGAAATGTGTGCAGCATTTAATTTTTCTTATCATGCTGTTGACTTTAATTTCTCTTGCAGCTTGCCATTTTCTTAGTGTTTTTAACCTGTACATTGTGTAATGTAATGTTTGTATATAATGAAATTTTGTTATATTTTTATATAATAAAAGCTAAAGTGGAAGTTATTGCCAAAGGAACTGTCTGTAAGACAAAAAAAAAAAAAAACATGTTGAAATTACTTAATGGAAATTTATCTTTCACCAGAAACAACCTAGTGTTTGAGAAGTTTTGCCTTGCCAAGTATAACTTGTATATCTTGAGTCGGTGGTAGATTTCAAGTTGATGTTATTTAATTACATTTGGTTTTCTGTAAACCATGTCACTTATAAGCACAGTAATAAAGGATTTGTCATGTGTTTGAAGAATTTGCTAATTGCTTTTATGAAATCGCCTATAGTCAGACATTCACAAATAACTTCAATACCAGAATTAAATCTTCTTTCAAGTGCTAATTATTTAACACAATTAATGCTTATGGCAATATTAAACTAATGGAATTTCAAATATTGCAAAATCTTACACAAGTATTAAAGTATTGATTTTGCAAATTACGCATATACATCTCCACATACATTGGTCACTCTATAAAATTCTTGCCCTCATTTGTTTCTGAAC